GTACATAAATCGAGGGCTTCTGTCCCTCGGGTGAGTGCTACTCCTTGTTCTAGTTGAAGTGGAACATCTTAAACATTAACATCTGGCATTAAATTTGAAACATTACCTGAAACCTGGGAAACAGTGCTGCGACTTGGAAACTTTAAACCTAATGTATGTGTCTCACCTGAATCGTAATTGTATCACAAAATAAAACCTTTTAACAGCGCAGTGTATAATTTGACTGCAACTGAAAAATTTGTTTTGAAAATACCTGAAAAACGACAGTTTAAAATAATCAAGCATTGTTTGTGCATAATGCAACATTTTTTTTTATAATACTAAATGACGGCACGAACAAGTCGTGCACCTGATGGTAAATGACACGTATGTCTACTGTTTGGTAATTATCTGAAAAATTTTTAAAATAACGGAATTTTTTTCCGAAAAATTTCCGACAAAATTGAAAAGTTTAAAAAATTTGAAAAATATAATTGCAAAGGCTCCTATTATGTTCTACGTTTAAAAATATCTTTTGAAGTTTTATTTAGGTTGAATTATAAAACAAACTTGTTTAGCTAAAACCACTTATATAAAAACGAGACTTGTGATTTCACAATAGCGAAAAAAACTATTTTAATAGCTCCATTGTTTTCGTTCAGTAACTTCAATTTTTGACAGGTGTGAACATAAAGGAAAACATTGGAAAAAATATCCGGAAAAATGTGTATTTTTATAAAAAAAAATTGATTTTTTGAAATGGAAATTTTTCCATAACCCAACACTACGCCTGTCCATAATAACAGTTGCAATGCCAGTCAGAGCTTTAAATCACAAAGATTGGAAGGGTACTGCCACTGCGCCTGACACTCTGAGAAGCTGACAAGTCCCATGTGCCTGTAATTCCCTTCGAAACCGGAACGCAGTGACGCTCACATTACTGCTTGCAGGACAAAAGACATGAGGCAGTACTTCCCTGGACGAACTCTCTCACAAGGCGCTCTATGGATATTCGAATGCACTATATTTAAGTTACGAACTTTTACTATAAATAAATAAATAACTGTGAAATATCCTCCAAGCGTATATCGAGTTTCCGACGGGGCTCATTACGCCACGTAGCTCAACAAACTACCTATAAATGTTGCTCCGGTAACTCCGCGAGAGATTTCACAAGTTTCGCAAAAAGTCGTTAACGACTGTCTTAATTCCAAGAGAAGTTAGTCGGACCACCTTGCCGACGCTAGTCTCAATTAGTTGGTGTTCTAGTGCCGCGGCCGGACACCACTTGGCGGCGACTCTGAATAAACTTGCCAAATTATTGACACTCCTCCCCTGCACGCCGCACAAAAAATACATTCCACCTGTTCTAAAGTAAAATTAAATTACTTTTCTTGCGGACCATTTTTTAGGAGTCACTTTGTTTTACTTCTCTTTCTTGTTTTTATTAACGGGCTATTTTTGTATGTCTTTGCTGCGATAAAGCTTTTAAAATTAAGTGCGTAATTTGGGAATAATGAAAGTCATCCATCATCTTTGGAACTGCGATCCCATTGTTACATAAATCTGCCAATTTGCAATTTAATTGAGTTTAGAGCGGGCGCGCAAGGTTGACAAATAAATCTAGGGTTTACTTGCGAATTTCCCGGTCTACAGATACTGTTATTATAACGGCTAGACGACATTAGTATGAGTTAATGTAACCTCATGTTGACGCGGTACTATTTTTCTTTAGCTTCTTCCCCTCTCTTTCATTTTTTTTACAAGTTTCGTTTAACTATTTGTTCCCGCGTAGCACAGATCTAACCTAGCTTGAGATTCTATCTCCCAACCTATTGCCTAAGAATTGTATAGTACCTGGACTACACGAGGTTATTATTTGAATACAGCAGTTTTCTTCTGAAATTTTGAGGTAAGTTTATGTTTTTTTTCTGTCATGGGAATGTTTAGGAATCGTGATATATTTTCCACAGTGATTGATTCAACACTTTGACTGTTATTCAAAATCATCAAAGCCATTTAAAATTATATTGACTAGCCAGATAGATTTATTATAAATCTTGGCACTCATTGCAATAATACTGTTCTTATCAGATCTGTCCTTATATGTATAAGGACAGATCTGCCACCTACGCTGTCAGGTTTATTATTATTATAATACTTAAAGAATTTTGGATTGCGTCTGATGAAACCTGCGGTGTTAGATACATAAAGAATTGTTAACGTTAGTAATCTATGTATGTTTCTTTAAATAAGGCCTTCAACTGTCTGTTCGTTTTAAACCACACACTGCGCTAATACATTCTCTTGCGCTAGGAACACTCTCTTCACATTTATTGCATTAACCCAGAAAATTATTCCGTACACAATTTTGAACCTATGAAATTCGTCCTGGAAAGTGCTGCCACTAACTAACTTATTTCTGCCGTCGAGCAGGAATGTGAGCATTGTGTGTGATACGAATTCATTAACAAATATACCTTCTTTGAGGTAATATTTCGCAATATATTTTACTTATTTGTCATCCTCAAGTAGATAGTTGGGACCATAGATCATCATGCTGACACAATGAGTGTAAATCACTTTTATACGACTTCTATGGCTATTCGACTACGGCAGAATAACATCTGAGGGTATTTCGCATAGCCATCATTTAGTAGTAGTAGAAGTACGTCCAGGGAAGGACTGTCACCTTATTTCGGCTGTCAAGTAATAATATAAGCTGTACTGATGAAATTACAGGCATATGAGACTTATCAACTTATGTGACGGGCGTAGTGCTAGTGTTCCGTAGATCTTTGGGATTTAAAGCTCTGATTGGTCCTGCAACTATTATGGGTAGATGTGTCACTTACCACTAGGTGCCACATCTTATTAATACTATTATTGATAACACCAAAGTACTCATCAGCGTTCTAAGGTCACTTTAAAAAAAGATCTTCGTAGGAGCTCTACATACGGAAAGCGGCATGAGATCGCTTTTAAACGGGCGTCGCACTCGGTGTGTGAAGTGCTACTATACAATACGTCTATACATCGTTACTGTAATGGTGAAGCCGTGCAAGTGCAAAAATACTTTTTAACTGGTGTTTTATAATGCGCTTTTTAAACACAGCTCTATTAAACAACGTTGCGAACGACGGCGGTCACGAGAGGTTGAAAAAAACCTTATACGTTTCTAATTAAAGTGAAACTAAACACGCGAGAGGAGTGTGGAAAGTTGACCTGGCTTTCGAACAAAGAAATAGGAACGTTGTGGCCCAGTTGATAACTTCTACTTACGTTAACAACTGAATAACGATCCAAGCTAAAACATACTTTCCTCTCATTAATTCTACAAACTCTATTTGCTTTATAACTTAATTAGTAGTAAATTTAAAATACCGATTATTTATACATATTCATATAAAAACCAAAGGTTTTATTTGTTTTTTGTACACCCTAACATATTAAATTTAAATTTTCATAGTTTAATAAATTTAACTATAAAATCATGTTGATACAAATCCACTAAAGATAATAAGTACTACCCAAATAAATACATACATGAAAAGATAATACCTAGTATACCAACTTTCCACAAAACTTTTTCTTTATTACGTATTTAATAAAAAAAACATTACCACAAACTGTTATTATAGAATGATAATTATCATTTTGCGTAATGGTATTACCATTCCTCAAAATGATTGAATTCGGAATTTAAAAATCGAGAATAACAAAAGACTTACGACAAAATTCCATATTCAATGTTCCATGTTAAAAGAGCAATCAATTTTAAGACAACAAATTCAAAACTAAAATATAATAATGTAAGGGTTTTGTTTACCGATAGACCGGGTATAGTTAGGATCCGTTATGGATGGCGAAACTTTGAGGAACCCATATGACACATTTAGTATAAGGACTACAGAGTCGAATTCAGGTTGTTTGACAATTTGTTTCACGACTTAAGGGATCCAGAAGTTGTCATTATGAGCTCCATATGTCTAGTGCGGCTCTCAACAAGATCAAAAACATAAACTTTCGTAAATTGATTTTGGTCGGAATATTGTGTTTATTTGTTTGTCTGTGTGTGTTTGTCTGCCATATTGTTATTGTTACAAATGTAATATGATATTTTTATCTCTTTACATTTGTTCTTGTTTGTTTACTTTTCCGTTTAAGCTGTAAATGTAAATTTTTATGTATTTACGTTACATTATATTTATATATAAAATTTACACATTTGTGTCATTTTTTTCTATGGATATAAAAGTACACATTTTTGTAAATATGTTTCTTATATACATTTAATACGGGTAATACTAAAATAGGTATTGAATCTGGGCTTATCTGGATTGTCTGTACCCTGAAATTATAGGCACATGGGACTTGTCAACTTATATCTCACCCCCTGATCACATGGCTTTGTCGTGCACGTTTTTCATTGTGTAGAATTCGATTTGCGTTTGTATGAATGTGCGTTTTTTGCAGTACAAATCACGGTTCTATTAGAACGTTTTTGAATTTTTTTTTATAATATCAAGTGACGGGGCGAGCAAGTTGCGTGGTAAGCTACACGCCTGTTGCAGCGCCACTCAGAGCTTTGAATCGCAAAGATCTGATGGGTACTGACACTGCGCTTGTTACCTTGAGACATAAATTGACAAGTCCTATGTGCCTGTAATTTCACCCACACTCTTATCCTTCAAAACCGGAACGCAGTAATGCTAGGTAAGGCTTGTAAAAATAGGTAAGGTACTTGCTACGTACTAGTACTTCCCTGGACGAATTCTTTTACAAGGATCTCTACTGCTACCAAAAAACACAAATGCTTTAGTTACTTTCTTTGGGATTAGAACAACGTTACATACGTATCTAATTATTAATAACCACAAATTTACACAAATACCACTACATGTACATTTCCGAGCTCTAGCTGATAATACATTATAACGGTGACGTAAAGAAGTAGGGAATAAGAATTTGGTTTTCGAATTCATATCTGCTTAACCGAGTGACCTATTTATTGTTCGCAGAGTGTGCGCGATGTTCCTGCCAGAGTTCGCCAGTTTCGTTGCCGCCATCTTGTTCGCTGTACACCCAATACACACCGAAGCGGTAAGTGCCGAAAACTTGTTTACTGTTATTGTGCCCGTCTTCAAAATCAGAGATAATGTTTCCATGACAACTTCAAGTTCTGTAAATGACATGCCTTGTTTGTTTAAGATAAGTATGTTTACTATGTATCATGCATATCTTGATAAGCGCCATTGTTCAATAACTATATGACATTTAGACTTGCTGTTCTCGTGAATGGTAAAGGACTTGCTACTTTTGTTGATTATACCTAGTTTTTAAAGAAATTAACCTTACACTAAAATTTAATTTATTTATAGAAGTTTTATTGAATACACAATAATAAACATCGTGATATTCAATAAAACTTTTTATTAACCGATTTCAAAAAACGGAGGAGGTTCTCAATTCGACTGTACGTTTTTATATTTTTTTTTTGTATGTATGTATGTTACGCGATAACTGTGGTCCAACGGGCGCACGACTTGTTTATCCCGTCACTTGATATTATAAAAAAAACGATCTCAAAAGTTCGTGGAATTATATCTATTTGCCAAGTTTCACTGAAATCGGTTATCGTAAAGTATGTGAAATCGGATTCATCCCCTAGTTTGCCACTAGGGGATGAATTGCTGATGGACTTCCAATTTAAATGTGACCAATACTAAGGTACCCCCTGTCCAAATGGGCATTTGTGAATCCATTTTGAGTGATCGTGATTGAGAGTGATCGCGTAACACAAATAAAAAAAAACAAAGAAAAACACAGTCCATTTGAGAATCTCATCCTTTTCTGAAATCGGTTAAAAAATAGTTTCATTTCCTATATGTAACATACCGCGAAAACCTAACAACTCGATAAATTTAATTAATGTTAAGAAGAATAATATTTTTTTATGAAAAATCGTGATAACTAAGGCCCGGATTAATATGTAATTACGTATTTTTCATTTATATTGTTACTACACAAATAATAATACTTAGAATCAAAAAAGTTTCTTTTCTTTTCCATATTTACTGGTTTAGACCTTACGAAACTTGCAATAATATATATTTTCAATAAGACGTGGCATTTTATTTAATTTAAAAAAATAATTGCGTGCGTGCATGAAAAAAAAATGGGTTTCATACACTAAAAAAAATTAACAGTGTACTGTGCGGAAGTTTAGAAGACAACCTCGCGTGACCTACTCACTTGCGGACTTGTGCAAATTTAAGTTTGCTCCAATCACATCCTGTGACGTCGAAAGGTCATTCATTCAGCCAGTACAAAGCGTTGTTCCGCCTAAACTGACAGAATTTTAATTGTGAAAATTTTAAAAAAACATGTAATTGTGTATTATAACAGTAACGAAAATTAAATTGAAGTGGAATAAAATTTGTTGATTTTTTTATCATAAAGCATGAAAACAGTTGTTCTTTTTTTATCTCCATATTTTTTCACATATTTACATATATAGTAGTTTATACTACATATTTATCGGAGCCCTAGTGATAACCATAACGTTAATACGAGGAATAAATATAACCTACTTGCTCTTGACAGTCGTCTTAAAAAATCCACAAACTTGTCTAAGTGGCAATGTAAGTACAAGCTTTTGTAATAAGATTCGGGTTTATATTCTTTGCCATTTACAACATTTTTTTATTTACAACGTTTAACACCACGGAAGAAAGAAAAGAGTGGAAATGGCTTGAAGCAACATTTGTATCAAAACCGGTATCGCCACACACACATTAGAAAACGTAATCTTACATTAGTACTAAGATAACATAATTTTGATTGGTTAAAAATTATCAAACGAAAATAGACAATAATAAAAAACTTTTGGTAAAAAAAATTGAAACTTATTTGGATCTAACAAGGTTTTATTATTACTAGTCACATAACAGCTAAGAATCCAAACATAAACCTCTTGGAACAAAAGCAAAAAGTTGACAATCTACAGATAGGGATGTGACATTTAATTGATATCAACATTATGTTTCTTAACTAGCGGAATATTGAACTAGGCATTGCTTTATACTTGCTATAATTAAGGTTAATCTCGGAGTATATGGAAACGGCATTTAAAGCAATTTCTTTGAGAACTAGCGTAGCTGAGTTTCACACGCACACATTTGTTACCAAATACGCATAAGGTTTTACACGCAAATATTAATTGATATTAGCTACGCAGGGATGGCATATACGTAGCTACATGCTACAATCACAGTATTAATGATTTATTATGCTGTCATCGTACTTTCATTAACCTACCAGATTTCAAGTCAATCCGATCACTGGAAAGGATGAAATATTGAAACAGTCTTCATAAAAATCTTTATTCTCCCTTAATTGTTCAACAATTACCTCTTTCTGAACTGGCTGAACATGACTTCACCTATAGCGTCGACGAGCTTGTCAAGAAAATGTAACTACTTATTTCCGAAGGCGACGAAGCGAATCATTTGTTTCATGAAAACTTGACGAAAAATAACTGAGAAAACTTTCACATTCAGATGTGGTCTATAATTTGTGAAGGCGACTCTGAGTTTCATGTCCACCTGATTAACCAAATGATTTATTATTTTAATGAATTTTTCGGTTGTTATTCATATGTATATATGAATAACAACATTTTATCATAATTTAACGTGATGTCGTAAAATGCCTATAGCAAATGGTGCTACATTTAGTAGGTACCCAGCTTTTATTGCCTGTTGCTTCAGCCTATTTCTCCTTTAAAAAAAAATCCGGCGGGAAACTAAAAAAAATCAATACAAAAACTGCAAATGTAAATCATGCCTGTGATAAAACTAAGAACTCAAACGGATGAAGGTGACGTATAGCAAGTAGGGAGATAGGAATCATGTAGATAAGGGAAAGAAAATCTCCAATCTCATAACATCTTCATTTGATACTCCATGAGCTTAAGTTTTAATTTTACATTGCAAATTATCGGTACTGTACCTCTTCTATCTATATTTCCTTCTTTTCCATTAATGTATCGTTTTTACTTAAATTGAAAATTTAAAAAACTATTGCGAGTGTTGGAACCAAACATTTAAGTAATCAAAATTGTTAGCTTTTAAATACCTGTAAACAATTTATTTTTACGCATTGGTACCGCTATAATAAAAAAAATATTGAACTAAACCAAAACCGGGTTTCTAAATACAGAGATTCTACATATCGATAATTTGATTACAACACACCCAGTACCAAGTGTAATCGATGCTAGTGCAAGCAATTCATTGAGCGTCATTCGAATTGTTCTTTGACGGCGGCGATGGCTAGCAACCAATGTATATTGTTATTACCGGGTTGCAAGAAAATAGTTTTGTTTCGAAATATATATAGTATTGTATTGTTCAAAATATTAGAAAATACAGAGTTTTAGTACTTACCGATGAAATCACTCCCGGAGTATTTTTTAAACTTTTAGCTTTTTACGCGACATGATATAATGGCATATTTCTATTTTTTCCACAAAATAATTATGTATCACATTTGAACGATGACTGACGCGCTGTTGACACTCATATGAACGTCTGTTCATAAGCTAGGTAACGCGGACCCCGCCCACTAACCAGTCTATTACTAGTATTTATGTGATCTGTGTTTAACACTATAGTAAAACAAAATATTTACGCTAAGGGTAAAAATACAGCTTCTACGTTTAGCCGTTTAGCTCTTGCAATATTGTAAATGATAAATGTATACAAATGTTTATTTACAAAAAGAAACTCTAGTCTTTTCAGGCTAATAAAGGTTATTTTGAGTTTGAGTTCGTAAAAATATATAGACAGATAGATACTTTATTCATTGATATAACACAATTACAAATTAATAAAAAAAAATTAAATAATAAAAGAAAAAACATAACGTGATTGTAGTAACAGTAAAAGGGCGCTGACTCTGCATATACTTAGTATATAGTAGTAAAGAAGGAAGAAACTACTCGGTACCTACCGATTATCAATAAAAAAGGAACGTTATATCCTATATGACTTTCTATAGGTCTTATAGGTTTCCATAGGTGCGTATGGGGTTATTTTTAAAATCTCAACAACGTCTCAGGAATAGATTACTAACATCATTAACAACAACTTTTATCCCATGACTTTTAATAGTGCATCACATTTTACTTTCATACAAAAATAAATAAATTTAAATAGGTCGCTCTGTTGTTTATCCTTTTTGAAGATGGAGTAAAATGACAGTTCATAGCGCAAAAGTATTGCCCGCTTGCGAGCAGCTAGTGATTGCAGTTGATAAATATTCTATCGATTATCGACTGAATATTGGTCACGCTTATGGAATAAATAGCCGTACTTGTTCCATTTCAATCATCCTCTACCCATTATTCATCCAATTACTGAGCACAAGTTCATTTGAATTGTCTATTTTTGTAAGTTCATACATACACTGTATTTAGAATTAAGTTTATGAAAAATACAAAGAGGAGACATATTTTGAAGTTTTTCATTTTAATTCAATATAGATAATCATATAGCCGAATATGATTCTTGTTTTAAAATGTATATGAATAAAAATTGATCTCGATACTAGTAAAACTGTCAAAATAAGAATAAAGAAGGCAATAACGTAATTAGTAATCATTAGAACGTCGTAACGTTCACAATACAGTCATTTTTGTCAAAATTTTATCTTCTTTCACAATCTGTCGATAAAACTATCGACTATAAACTATTTCAAATTTTATGAAAACTGGGAACACTACAAATGTCATTTTACTCCGTCTTGAAAAAAGACAGGCTATAAATGGTAATAACTCTGTGCAGTACGGGGGTGGGAGTCGTTGAGGAGGATGCTTGCACGTTTGAACTTATTGTACCTAATATAAATGTAAAAAGTGTCAGATAGGAAGTACAACAAAAACTTAAAAGTTTATTTTTGGTATACTTATTATGTTTTGCAAAAAGTCATAGAATAAAAGTTGTTGTTTACGATGTTAGTAATACGAGTACAGCCCTGCGAGGTTATACGTATTTTAAAAATAACTCTGTATATACCAAAGACGGTTTAATATACTACAC